CCTGTTAGTGTAACTGCTTCTTCCCTCTGGTAGCTTTTAACATTTTCTTTTCATTCCTTATGTTCTACTGTTTAAGATGTGTCAAGGTATGAATTTACTGTTATTTATCCTGCTTGATACTCAGTATGTTGAGAACTCACATTTTCTTTTTTTTTTTTTTAATTTTTATTGAATCATAATTGGTTATAGATATTTTGGAGATTCAATGTTGACATCTGTTGATCAAATCAATATTACTAGTATATATATTGTTACAAATTGTACTTATTCTTTATGCCCCTTGTCCAATCTCTCCCTATCCCCCATCTCCCTCCTCCCAAGAACTCACATTTTCTTTAAAGCTCATAAAATCTGTTATTTTCTTCTCAAATATTCTCTACTATTCCACCCATTCTCTTTTCCTGGAACTCTTTTTAGATGTGTGTTGGAGGCTCTCAATTCATCCTCTACGTCTAGGTATGGTCTTTGATATCTGTCAAACTCTCTTTGTCTCACTAGGAGGGAGAGCTCCTCAACACTCTTTTCTAATCTGCTAAAACCTCTGTGTCCTGTCCACAGTTTAAACCACTTCTTAACCTTATTTCACTTTTTATATTTTGTTTCCAAGGTTTCTAATGGTTTTTAATTCTTAATTTTCTGAATACACTCTTATTTCATTTCCATATCTAAGTGCAAGTTTATGGCATCTGAACCACAAATAGCTTTGTAAACGCAGATTTTCACTACTGAAATTCTGGTTAGTTAGCATCAGAGCTTTATATAAATTATGACCACATATAAAGTCCTTTTGAACACCACTAGAAAATTTCACTGTCTTCTGCTGATTAAAATGAGCTCTATTTCTACTATTTTCCTCCAAATTGAGAACTCTATGGCCTTTTGTTTGGTGCCTCATGTAACAGGCTCTTACTCATTGCCCAAGACTAAGGATTTTCAAAACACAAAACACAAACCCTGCTGCAGTGCCAAGCTTTGTATTGAAGTTGGTTAAAGAAGGAACAATAACTCAGAAAATACCTTTTTCAAGTTCAACAAAAAGCAACAAAACTTTCAGAAATATTTATAACATTCCCAGTTGAAGTCAGCTGGGAAAAGAATGGGTACTACGGCAAGGACAGGCAGTAAGATGAGTCAAAAGGAAATCATCTCTTTTATAAGCATTTCTCATTGCTTTTTCCATTTATATTTCAGCTATTCTCCAAATAAATGCAAACACAGCTATTACTACACCAAAGCAAAAGCTATTCCTACTGGGAAGAAAAACAGTGTTTGAACTTCTGGGGTAACCTTGACCTGGTTTGCTAAAACATAAAACAAAGACTGCTGAGCATATCAAAACCATGGCATATACTGTTAACACCTGAGACTATCATAAAAGACTAGGTTTAGACTTCATGGTTGATGCAATAATATAAGCTCCTGCTTTATAGAAAATCTTTAAATTTTATTTTTATTATGATACAGGCAAACAGCCAAGATAAACTAAATAATCAGCATTGACCTTTTAAACACTATGTGTTTTTTTTAAGGAATGCCACCAAAAACTCTCAGAAAGGATAAAAATAGTCCCTGAAATTTTGAAAAAGTTACCTCAACTGTTCTCTATGGCCAGCTTAAGTTTACTGAGAACTTCAGACAGTAAAAATACAGTAGTCCACAAGAGATTATTTATTCGGTCTATATGTCATTAAAGCAATTTTACCATTACAAATGTCTTGTTGAACTAAAATCCACATTAAAAACCGTTTAATTCGGACCGGCCCGGTGGCGCACTGGAGAGTGCGCCGCTTGGGAGCACGGCGGAACTCCCGCCAAGGGTTCGGATCCCATGTGGAGACCAGTTCCCGCTCACTGGCTGAGCGCGGTGTGGGCACAACACCATGGGTTGCGATCCCGTTGCCAGTCCCCGGTCCGGGCGCGACACCAAGGGTTGCGATCCCGTTACCGGTCAGTAAAAAAAGACAAAAAAAAAGGGAAAAAAAAAAACCGTTTAATTCAGAAACATAAAACTGCAATTAATAACTCAACTCAGAAATAAGAGGTTCGGGGACGGCTGGTTAGCTCAGGTGTTTAGAGCACAGTGTGGCTAACACCAAGGTCAAGGGTTCAGATCCCTGTGCTGGCCAGCCACCAAAAAAGAGAGTGTCATGGCCATTTTCATTTCTTCAGACCTATACTCTGAATAATACCACTCAAGAGCGGTGGTCTTCAACAGCTTTTCCCCCATCCTGAATTTGACAATGGTTCACTGCCCTGTTGTATAAAAACTTCTTTGTGGTATCAAACTAGAGGGATGATTTAAAATATCAGTGTCAGTAACAAAAAGTGGATTACTAATAATTGTGTAACAAATCTTTTGGCAGGTCAGGTGATTGTAAAGTCTGCTTTCAACAAAATTGAAGGAAGACCTAATTGAGTTGTTAGATGATAGGATAAAAATATTCTGACGCTAAACCACTATGTAATTTAACATCTAATTCAGAAAGAGTTAGGAGAATTGAATAATAATTGCTATAATAAAGCTCCTTCTATCTCTACCTATTTATTTATAAGACCAAGGGTTCTCACAATTTATATTTATCTAAAAAAACAAAAACAAAAGAAACTGTGATAGAATTGATACTGAAACTTATCTTTTTCCAGCAGTAAATAATATTCATCCAGAGATTAATGACTTAATTGGGAGACCCAATATATCTCTTAAATGGAAAGAGCTGCATTTCCCTTTTTTTTGGGTGGGTTGGGTGGGGTCTAGCTGGCTGGTACAGGGATCCAAACCTGTGATCTTGGTGTTACCAGCACCACACTCCCCCAGGTGAGCTAACCAGCCAGCCTATTTCCAATAATTTTTACATTTTAATAATTATTTTTTTAAATGTGTTAAAATATAGTGTTATCAATTGTGTACTTCTAATAATTATAATAATATTTCAGTACAGAAGAAATTTTTTACTTTAGGCCAGTGGTTGTCAAAGGATGGTCCATGAACCAAAAACATCATCATCACCTGGTAACTTGCCAAAAATACAAATTCTGGGATCCCACAGACCTAGTGAATCAGAAACTCTGGGGGTGGGGACCAGCAATCTTTGTTTTAACAAACCTTAATTTTAATTCTGATGCACATTAAGGTTTCAGAACCACTTTTTTTTTTTTTTTTTTTTTTTTTTACTTCCTATATAAAGATGACCGGTAAGGGGATCTCAACCCTTGGCTTGGTGTTGTCAACACCACGCTCAGCTAGTGAGCCAACCGGCCATCCCTATGTAGGATCCGAACCCGTGGCCTTGGTGTTATCAGCACCACACTCTCCCGAGTGAGCCATGGGCCGGCCCAGAACCACTTTTAAGAATAAAATTCTAAGAGAGATGTAAAAAAGAAAACCCAGCTCAAGGAGGAAGACAACATAAAATTTCTGCTAAAGAGCTTATTCATGTATTACTTGTTTTTAAATGGAAGGTGATGGATATTAAATTACTATATTTTGATTCCACTAGATGTGTTTAAAAACATAAAGTTTTTTTTGTTGTTCTTTTTAAAGATGACTGGTAAGAGGATCTTAACCCTTCACTTGGTGTTGTCAGCACCATGTACTCCCAAGTGAGCTAACCGGCCATCCCTATATAGGGATCCGAACCTGTAGCCTTGGTGTTATCAGCACCACATTCTCCCAAGTGAGCCACAGGCCGGCCCTTAAAAACATAAAGTTTTAATTTACTTTAACCTCCAAGTACTGACAATGATATCCTTCACATCTTTTTAAACTTAAAAAATTTTAAACATCAATTTTAAAATGTGTAAGAGATATATAAGTATATAAATATTTTATGGAGTACCTAAATTAAAAAGTTGGATGATTATTAGTCAAGAGCAGGGGTTCTCAAACTGTGGTCCTTGGACTAGTAGTAAATGGAATCATCTAAGAGCTTATTAGAAATGCAAATTCATGGGCCCCACTGAAACATACTGTAGTTTAACAAGCTCTCCAGCTGATTTCTATCGATGTTAAGGTTTGAGAGCCACTGTTCTAGACTAAAGCAGTACTTTAAAAAAAAAAAAAAAAAAAAAAAAAACTAATCCCAGAAATTCTGATTCAGTAAATCTGCAGTGGGACCCAAATACTTGCATTTCTAACAACTTTCCCAGGATGGTGATGCTGTTGTTCCAAAATCACACTTTGAGAACCGCTGGTCTAGAGGACTGTGGAAACCATATCCCTACTATTCTAGGTCAATACTCAGAATGTAAACCCCTTCCCTGATCCTAGGATTAGTTCCTCCACCATATTATCTCATGTATATTACTTACACATTTTCCTTTTTAACAACTCATCACACGATTACTGAACACCTATTTTCCTCAATTGAATTCAATCAAGTTAAAGAACCACATGAATCCTTACTCCATCTGTATACTCAGCACCTAAGCATAATATCTGCCTCATGGTAGTTATTAAACAACTATTTATCGATAAATAACTATACATTTGTTGATTAATTCCATGAAATGTCAATTTTAATATAACATTGCTAAAGCTATTATTAGAATGCCAACAGTCCTGATTTGCCCAGGACCGTACTCTCAAGTGCTAAGAGCACTGAAAGTCTCATGTCTCATGACTATGCAGCCTACCATATCAAATATCAACACTAAGGTCAAAGAAAAAGGACAAATCTGGGCTGGCAGGTCAGCTCAGCTGGTTAGAGCACAGCGTTTTAACTCTAAAGTCAAGGGTTCAGATCCCATACAGGCCAAGTGCAAAAAAAGTTTTTAAATTTTTTTTTAATTAAAAAAAAAGAAATATCTGAATAATGCATTTTTCAACTTGTTTTTCAATTCCATTCTTAACCCTAGCCTCTAAGTAGTATTCTTTTGTTATAAAATATAAGTACAAATAAAAACAAGGTTTATTCAATGATAAAATTAATACCGTATTACCAAGAAACTTAACATTTTAAGGCAATTTTAGTACAGGGACTGGGGTAAATTTATGTACTTACCCTCTTTAGCCAAATATAACTCCTTAAATTTTGCTCTCTTTTGATTAAATTCTTGCTCAAGCTGCTGCTGTGCACGTAAAAATTCTGCATTAATTTTTTCCAATTCTGCTACCCGTTGCTGAAGAGAAACTGGAAAAAAAACATACTAGTTACCAACTAATAACTTTTATTTATGAATCAAGTTACAAGAATAAATTAGTATTCCAGCTGCACATTACTATACATGAAACAAGTATTCAAGCTTCTTCCAAAGATCTAGTATATTCTAGGAAATTCTAATTTTAAAAATTGTAAGACATCTATTAGACTTAAAACACAAACTGTGAATGAGTCATGTAAATTGAAACAGCATATATAGAGTATCAAATAAGGCCAGTTTCCCCCCAAAAAAGAGCTTCTAAAGTTTCTTTGTACAACTGACAGGATGTCAATGCACTTACAGAATTGTTAAATATTAGATTATTTGAGCTATTTATCCCACAAATGAACCCACTACCAATCTTGTAATTTCCTGTTTCAAGTGTTATGAGCAAAATCTAATAGGTTCCCTGATTAGGGTAGCCATATGAGCCTGAACTATTCTTCCAATGCAAAATGATCCGTTATCATTATACTGAAATATCAAAAACCCATTCATATAGAACTGTACATTCTGTATGAACTCTCAATTACTGGAAGATTATCTAGTTTTCAGATTAATGTTGATCATGGTGTGGCAGGGACTGGGACATATTTTTTACATTAGGGGCACTCTATAATTTGGTCACAGCTGATTACTGCCTACCCTGGCCAAGCTCTTTTGGTTAAAGCACAGGGTGGGAAGTCCAAACCCTTAACCTCCTCCTTTACCCCAACATCAACCTAGCCTTTAAGCTATGACTTTAGTTATCCCTTCAGGTGATATCTACCAGTACTAATCAGCCACCCAGAAAATGATGACTTGCTTACAATTTTAACAAAGATCCGAGATTATCTTTGAAGGCCATACCTTCCCCCAACCCATTATGCAATTTAATCAAAAGTTGATTTTACAATGTAAAGAAAAAAGTCTGGAAAACGTGTACCAATGATTTATTGATGGGTAATAGAATTATGGCTAATTAATTTCTTCTATATGCTTTTCAAAGTTCGCTACAATGAGGATATACTCATATACTCCTTTCACAATAAATAATAAACTAAAACCAATACATATTTGTTCATTCCCATAACATCTCCAGACTGGCGTAAGTACAGATTTAATAGTATCAGTGCAATCCACGGCAGAAAGAGGAAAACAACTGCTGCTTTAAGTTCCATGTCATTAAAGGTAAGGAGTCATCTTGAGGAACAAATACCTAGGGTCTTTAGGTCAAAGCAATGACATCTATTCAACTGAAGGCTTGATAACTTTTCATGAAAAAGAGGGATAGGGAATCAACAGAGAAGGGAAATGTGCAAGTTATCTCTTATTTACCATTTGAAATCATGAAAGAAAACTTCTCTGTCCTATTTCTACTGGCGTTTTTGTTGTTGTTGTTGTTGTTGTTGTTGTTAAATTCTAACTGTTAAATAAATTAAACACCTCTACTACTAACACTTCAATATTACCAGTAGCTATTGATTACTGCAGGCATAGGGAAGGGCTCTGGGGAATCAAGAAAGGAGAAAAAAGATTCCTCTGTTCTTACTTTTCACTAACAACTATATCCCCCCACTCCTCCCTTCTACCAAAATGCACACATGCATGCATGTGCATGTACAAAATGCCCATGCTACTCAACCTTATTATATTTATACTTACGAATGGAGGAGAATGAATCAACAAAAACAAAAACGCAGCCAAGATTAAGTGCATTTCCACTACTCTCAACCCCATGAAGGCTCTGACCCACAGTACAGACCTAGTCCACACCCACAAGTCTGACTGGCTCTCTCCAGGCTTCAGAATAGTTTTCAATCCCAGGAATCGTGATCCCTTTGAGGATGTGTGGAGTAATTACTCTCATTTGGTTTTTGGGGGGTTTTTTTGGTTTTTTTTCGGTGGCTGGCTGGTACAGAGATCCAAACCCTTGACTTTGGTGTTACAACACGGTGCTCTAACCAACTGAGCTAACTGGCCAGCCCTTGTGGATTTTTTTTTTTTTTTAATTAAAAAAAGTAATAATCCACCTCAACTACTTCTAACATACTGCCAATTCTATAATACATTAAAAACCAAAATAACTGCTTTTTACAAGAATGCCTTTAATGCTACATCAAGAAAAATCAATTCACCCTGAAAGACAACAGGAAAGTTTACAAACATATCCTAACGCTTTAGCAACCAACCACAAATCACACTAAAAATAGTTCTCATCACACGAAATGTTTTATTATTTTTCTAATGGTGATGAACAGTTCACAATAATTAGCTAACAGTTCATATAAAAAGTACTTAGTGTGGCATAGAGAAAAAATTTGATTAATGTCAGCTTTTATTAATAAACTAGTACTATTTATTTAACGAATAAAGATAAAAAGTAGAGTGATCAAGTGACTTTATATGTAGCCAGAAAAGACCAGAAGTCACTTCCAACCTCATGATTCTGACTCAGTTCCATGTTTAGACTTCCAACTCATACCCTTCCCTATTACTAGGTATCTTCACAGCATCATGGACAAATTAATTAGTGCTCATACCAACCTTCAACAATATTAACACTTCTGAAATTTAGCAGCTGAGGGTATCCGTGTGTCAACCTCCATTAACCATTCCACACATTCCATATATTGTTGCCTTCATTTGAGTAATAAGAAAAAGGGGGAAACTTTCTAATGAAATGGCTACCTTTAATGCTTGACATCCAAAAGGAAAAATTACTCTATCGCTTAGTCAAAATGTCTGAATTAAGCAACAGCAATACAGAAAGAAAGGAAAAAGAAAAAAATATTAGGGTAAATAAATAGAAGACCTAATAATTCATAGATATATCTCTTTCCCTAATTTTGATATGAATGAGAGAACATGCAATAATTTAAAAATACTTTTAAGTCCCAAGCTGCGTCCTACTACTACATTCTTCTAATAAGAAGAACATTGTACTAAATCTGATGAGACATACGCAATAGGAGAAGGAAAAAAAGCAGTCTGGGTCAAAATATTTTCATTTAAAGATTTTCAAGATCCAAGAAAACATCTATTTGAACAATAGAATGTAACTCCTTCGGGAAAAAAGAATCAGAACAGTTCTTGAAACTCAGGAGTCTTAACTCGTGTATCACTGGGTCTTAAAATGAACCTATTAAGTATGATACATACATCCATTTAATGGAATAACATCAAGCCAGAAAAAGTATATTAGATAAAAAGAACATGATAGAAAATTATATACAGCACAATATGAGCTATACAAAAAATATACAGAAAAAAGACTGGAAAGAATATGCCAAATGATGGCCTCTCTGATAATTAAAACCATAAATTATATTGATTAGATTTGAATTAAAAAGTAATAAATGCTTTACCTTTTTCTGTCTTCATGATTATAATTTTATCATTCCACCTCAAACTCTGCATTCATAAAAAGTGCACATAATTTATTTCAATGGTCTTAAGATATCTTAACCCACAAAATAATCATTTTTAAACTACACCTAATTTTTCCGGGACTAGCAATTTGCTAAAATAAACTTTAAAAAAATAATAATAATAATCTCTTCTGTTTCAGAAGTGGCTTTCCACCTAGCAAGCTACCTTCTCTCTGTGCTCTAAAGCTTATACCTCCAGACTTTTCTAGGAATTACTGAAAGTGATTATTATTTGCTGTAAACCTACCAACTAAATTGTGCTTTGATTAGGATCACATTTAAACAAATCCATAATAACTCAGCATGCCTTAAAGAGGAAGGGAGGGTCAGAGAAAGAAGAGTGGATGGGTCTATAGTAATTAGAGATAACTATATAGAGAATATTCATCACAAACAGCAATCCACAGGCAGGTAATTAGGTTAATACTACCTACCAATCACTTTACAATATTAGATCAAATAGATGTGGCATTTGGGCATCAGTTTTTCCATAACAGTAAAGATAATCACAACTCCTAAGTACAACAGAAAGTTGTCATTCCACTTCACATAATCCCACTTTACTTTATATAATCCCAAAGATACCTAACTTTAGCAACTATAAGAAAATGCTCCCTTTTCCCTTTCCATTTACTCATATAAACCTGTTCTAAAACTGAATAACCTAAGAAGTTTACACAGAGCAACTTCACAGCCTTCTGTGAATCGATGTGAAAAATCTTATTTATTTGTTTATTTATTTTTGCAACTCTTTTAAAGCAATTAGGTGTCATAATAATTCAGCTAGAGGATAACACTTAAGATGATGGGTTTCAAATAAGAAAGCCAATTAATTACTTCTTACCTAAAGATTAGGTGTTTATGTAAAACTACCTGAAGAAGTTATTAGGAATCCAGGAAAAACATTAAGTGAAAGAACAAACTGGCATTATTTGTTAATTAAGGGGGAAAATGAGATAATGAAAAACTACTTAAGAGATTCTTCAAAAGGGTAAAAGAAGGATTAAGTAGAAAGAAGAAACAATGGTAAGCCTGATTGGGGAGGAGATGGCAGGGGTGGCAAGGGTGGCAGTGGGAAAATCAAAGTACACAAGAATATTTTCTGATTTTCAACCTCCCTGGGGGTTGATGATCAAAATGAGTAGCTTCAGGGGCTGGCCTGTGGCTCACTTGGGAGAGTGCAGTGCTGATAACACTTAGGCCACGGGTTCAGATCCCTGTATAGGGATGGCCAGTTAGCTCACTTGGGAGTGCATGGTGCTGACAACACCAAGTCAAGGGTTAAGATCCCCTTACCGGTCATTTAAAAAAAAAAATCAGTAGCTTCCAGGAATCTGCAGTGTGGAATTTTCTCGTCTAATTTTTAGTTCTACATTATTAGTTAAGTAGGAACAATAACAGGATCATAGTGTTGCAAGGATTTTAGAGATTTTTTTCTAGTCCAGTGTATTTCAAACTAAGTCACAACCCATTAGTGAACTGTTAAATCAATTTAGTGATTAACAACCTGCTTTTTTTAAAATAATGAAATACAATAGAAAACATTAGCACCACATTAATATGAGCACATGTTGT